CCTGGCCTATAGAAACTCTGAGATAATAAATGTTTTTTTTTTTCAAGCCACTTGGTTTGAGGGTAATTTGCAATGCAGCAATAATAGTAAGCACACATAAATTACTGAAAAGATTTAAGAAACAATTTTAATTGAAAATACAGACACATTGGTAGAATCTAATTCAGGCTACTGAAGAACTGTGAATATTGAGAAGGAGGGCAGAAGGAAGAGGGGAGGAGAGACGTGAAGAAGTTGAGTTCTCTGTGGCACAGGAGGGAAAGTCCTTGAGACTTCTGGGAATTTCTTCTGTGTGGCAGGGTGGATCAGCTGAGTTCACCAGAAATCATTCAGAGGCAGTAGGAGTGGCAGCAAGGGAGATGCATTTGCAAACACATTAAATCAACCAAGAGCCTTTTACTCAATCAGAAAGTCCAAGGCAATGGTTTGGAATGGGTCTCATTTGGACAGCCACATCGTCATCTTACCAGCTATCTGGTCCTAATGACTTTTGAATAAAAAAAGTTGTTAGAATAATTTTCCACTTAGCAACAACCATTCAAGAATGGGCAATGTTACTATTTGTGCCCCTCTGTTAAAAATAGGCTCATTTTCTTGCTTTTAAAAAGCACCGTTGTATATTGTGGATGTGGACTTGGAACATTGTGAAGGCTGGTTAATTCTGTAGCACTTTATAGTGTGCCAATTTGTAGTACTGCCTCTTAGGAAACTTCCCTGAGACTATTACACAAAAGGTACTCTGTAGAGGGAGTTTACAATTTCCTCTTTTCCTTCAGCTCCTGTCTCTAATGTGCAACCCTAGCATCCACGGCCTGGTTTGCCCTTGTCTGTTTTGTCCATGTAAATACCATTCCTGGTCTCTTGAACTGAGCCTCACCTTCCTCTGCTGTGTTCTGAAGGAAAGTCAACATGGCCGATGTGTAGTCCTGGCCATTGTTAGTGCCTCATTATTCTCCATGAAAATACTGAGCACATTTCTTCCCTAACAGTCAGAGCAATCTGTAATCATCTCTGTTTACTAGCTCTAGAGGCAGGCTACACAGGTTCTAGTCCCATTCTTACCAATCACTACAAGGGCTCAGGCAAGACAACATGTTTGTGCTTCAGTTTGGCCTATGTAAAAAAGCAAGAAACTCAAGGCTGGGGATCTTAGTGGTAGAGTGCTTGCCTAGCATGTGCAAGGCCCTGGGTTCTGTCCTCAGTACCACTGGGGGAAAAAAAAAGAAATTCCTAAGGTCCTTAGGAGGATTACAAGAGTTAAACTACGTAAAGCACTGAGAACAGTACGTGGCACCCATTTACTGCTCTATAAATACTAGATATTATCATTGTCTGCCTCCCTAGAACATAAAGTCCACAAACGCAGAGGTCTGCCTCTCTTTTTCATGTTGTAGGCCCCAGCAGTGGCCAGGCCCAGAGATGTTTCATGTGGAAACCCAGACACTGCTATTCTGAATTATTTACAACATCCTCATACCAGGAAATTTCACAATGGCCATTTTTCTTCTTGGGTTCTCTTTCTTACCTCTTTGCTCTTTCCCAAGACCCCAATCTCTTCAAATGTAAGTGCAGACTCCCATTTCTTATAGTTTACCCATGCATAGAAATTACAGCTCTCAACTCCATCCACCTTGCACCGTGTTCCAGATCTGTCTTTGTACATCCACTGGCCACCAAAATCATGAATGTTGTTCATCCCCTAAAAGGAAGTGGCAATATATTTTTTAATAGGATTTTCCCTTCCCTTTATATGTACCTTTCTCAATTTTTCAAAGAATTACTATTAGAGAAAATTACATGAAAAAACCATAAAATTGGAAATTATAGAAATATGCTTAGAATTTATATATTAGATAATACCAAAAATTAGAAAGAAAAATTTACCCATAGATCCACCACACAATCGACACATATACAATCACTGTCAACATTTTGATGTTTTCTCTATTTACTTGCATTCTCTATCTTTGTCTACAACTTTGGCATGCGTGTGTGCATGTGTGTGTGTGTGAGTGTGCGTGTGTATGTTAGAGATAGCAGAGGTATAACCAGTCATAGATGATCATGCCCCTTCCATTCACATACTTTTTTCTCAGAAGTACTGGGGATTGAACCCAGGATTTCATGCAAAGTAGGCTCTACCTTCCCCAGCCCCTCCCCATACTATTTTTAAGGAAATTTATTATTTGTGTATGCATCTCACAGGTATAATTAACACCTACTGAGCATCAGACCTCACACTGAGTTGCCACCATCAACACTACAAGGGCTGCCAGATCCTAAAGTTGGAACTCTGACCCTGCTCACCCACACAGCCTCCATTTCTTCAGACTATTGATTGTGGAGAGTTTAAAGTAGTATCTCAGAGGTAGTTTTATGTAGAAATTCCACACAAGGGTCTCACATAAAAAAAAAAAAAATCACAAACCTATTTCCTCCAAATGCACTCTGGTTGCTGTAAAACTGAAAGAAGTTTTACCGCGAAACTGTTTTGCTTCCTTCTTATAATGACTGTGCAAACTGAAGAGAATGGATTTTACAGCTCAGGCTAATTGCGTTATTAACACAGTCCTCCCGGGAAAGAAAACCTCAAGAAAAGGCACTTTGTCTGCCTTGGTCACCACCACCCCGGCTTCTTTTAGTTCCTTAAAACATCCAGCTCTGCCCTGCCTCAGAGCTTTGCTCATAGCTTCCCTCTGTGCAGTTACTCTCCCAGAAGCCCACAGTCACGTCTCAGCTCACACAGTGGGGAATACCTCAGAGAAGACTTCCCTAGCCAAATTATGCAAAGATGATTTCTCTTATTTTTCTTGCTCTTAGCATTTGGGGTTTTGTTTTACCCTTATTTCTCTTGTTGAAATTATTCAATATTCGTTTGTTTGCTTTCTGTTTTTGTTTTGTTTAACCCAGGTAGGAGCAGGGATTCCCCTTGGGAAATCTTTTTAATATGTTTAGTATACATACTTTTATTGAATATGATATATATACAGTTTGGGTATATGTATTTTTTTTATTTGTACTTGGTTATAGATCTTACTCTGTTCTCTCCTTTTCTCACTTTATTATACACACACATCATTTTTATGATTACTACATAATAATATATGGTATAGATCTACTACATTGTTCTTCCTCCTTCTCCCAGTGGTAGGTAACTCTAGCTTCCTGCCATGTCATCAGAGACAGTATTTCTTTGAAAATCCTACACATGTCCTTTCATGGAGCCGGAAAATTTATCTACTGGGATGTGGACTCTGGAAAAACACTGGTGGATCATGTTGAGATCATGTTGACCATGTTGAGCTCAAGTATTCCCCAAAGCTGCAGGGGCTGACACCCTCATCAGCAATACTTGGAGGGTCCTGTATCCCTCTTGGTTCCTTCAACCCTTGGTGATTTCCAGCTTCCTAATGGCTGCCAGTTTAAGGGCATAAAGTAACATTTAATTCTTATCATTTGAGTATCTCTTCATGATCCTGACTCCGAGCAGCTCAATGTAGGTTTGTTTTTGGAATTTTCTCTTCTGTACAGTTCCTATTCATATCAGGTACCAACTTGCAATGTTTTATCCTTGAGTTATAAGTTTCTTACGTATTCTAGAAGATATAAGTTCCTTCTTGACATGACAAATATCTTTTCACATTCTGTCAGTTTTCTATTAAATGCATCCTCCATGGTGCACTCATTAATAGAAAATCCATCTGGATGTAATATAATTCATTACCGTTGAGACCTTACAGTTTGTGGTACTTATGATGTCTTTTCTCTGGGTCAGCCCATTTTTTCTCCACTGTGTACAGGCATTTTCCCTGCCATGAGAGAAGAGGACTGCCAACAGCTCCAAGATGACGATGTCCCAGCTTTGCAGTCAAGCTATCAAAAGTCCTGGGATTGCCCGGCATGATGGTGAAGACTATAGTCTCAGAGACTTTGGAGGCTGAGGCAGGAGAATGGAAAGTTCAAGGCAAGCTCCAGCAATTTAGCAAGTCCCTAAGCAACTTAGAGAGACCCTGTCTCAAAATAAAAAATAAAAAGGGTTGGAGATGTGGCTTAGAGGTTAAGTGCCCATAAGGTCAAACCCAGGACCAAAAAAAAAAAAAAAAAAGTAATTAAAAATTAAAAAAAAAAATCCTGGGATTGATTCCCATTTACTTGGTGTGGGTCCCCAAGCAAAGATAAAATGGGCAGCCAAGCCAAGATAAACACTGCTTATCTCCTAGGTCAGGAGCAAAATGGATTCAACCCTACTCTAAAACTATGGCAAAATAGTTGAAATGGAGTGGTTTCTTGGAGGAATATCAAGATATCACTTTGAAAATGAGGCAAAATGAGTGATGAGCGGTACTAGATGTCCATTATAAAATGTCACTGTGTTTCTTACTGTTCATCAGATAAATTAGTATTGTCACATTCTCCATACATCTTTTCTGGGCCCCACCCCCAGATTTAAACATTTCTTAAACATTTCCCAGCACCCTGCCCTTGTCTGGTGACACTTGAGGACTTAATTCCTCCAATCAGCAATTCAGTTAGGAAGGGACCAAGATCATCTGGACCAACGGTTCCCAAACAAGGCCGAGTATTTGAATCACTAAGTGAACTTAAAAAATTAGATTCCCAGGCTTTGCCATAAACCTGCTGAAATTAAAACTTGGCGGAACAGAAACAAGGAAATTGTGTTTTAAAATCTTACTATTGCTAGTTCACTGATGGAGAATCACCCTGAGAACCACAAAACCCTCGTTTCACACATGAGAAAACCTAATCCTGAGGGACCATGCTCAAGTAAACCTAATGAACTTGGAGTCCTGTGCCATTAGGCTCTTGCTGATGTCTGTGTGTGTTTTCTTGATGCTGGACGTCGAGCACTCTTTGGCCCCTTTGAAAAAGGAGCCAGTGCATATAAATATCTCAGGATTTACCATCTGACAAGAAAGCTTAGGCTCTCTTCTCTTTATCTTACCCAGAAATCCTGGCAGGGCTGCAACCATGGAAACACATCCTCCAGTCCACATCAACTCCAGCCACAGCTGCCCTGGACATGCAGAGAGCAGTCTCCTGAGGCGCAGCGAAGCTGTAGGGAGCTTCTCAGGGGTTGCTCTTCAGCAGCACAGGTGTTCAGAAGCCAGTCTCAGGAGTCACCTCTCCTGATTCAGATCTTGGCTCTGCCGTTCACCAGGTGTGTAACCTTAGGCACTGCGCTTGTTCTCACTGTGGGGCTGTGTGTCTTGGGGGGTTCTTTGTGAGGGTGAAATAGAATAGTGTTTTTCCAGTGAGTAGACCCAGAACCTCACACATGAAGTGCTCAGTAAATGGTGGGGGAAGCGGTCTTCCTGGATACTTCCTGTGTGCTAGTTCCCATGCAGGGTGATGAGTGATAGAGAGATGAGTAAAGCCTGGTTTCTGCCCTCTGAGCACAGCCACATGAGGCTGAAAGATAACCAGGCAATAATGGGGAAATCTGTGATATCCCTTGGCCTCACCTGCACAAGAGGCAGACCTGACTGGGAGCCTTAATCCCTCATTGATCCCTCATGTCTGCAGCAGGGTCAGCGAGGTGCTCTGGTCCTGGGACATACACTGCCTCTCTGAAGCCAGAACAGTGCTGACCACCTCCATCCGCCCACATGGAGGCAGCTTGCCAGCAACACAGAGGCTTTGCTTTCCCGTCACCCCTCAGATGCAGTTGGTCACATTTTGCTGTGGAAGACACACCTCATTTCCCTTTCCTCAGCCCTCATTCCCCCTGTTTTACATTCGTCTATGTGATAGTTGGATATGGCCACAAGAGGAGACACTGGAGAGGCTCAGGGGAAAATAACATCCATTATACTTGCTGGTCCTAGAGTCAGGAGGCACAGCAGGCCATGCAGAGTCATGTGGAAAGCCACCAGGCGATCAGGAGGCAGACCAAGGGTGAGGGGTAGGTTAAGCCACTGCCTTTATTGGGACTTCACAGAAAAAGACAATAGATAGTTTAGAATTAGATAGTTTGCATAATTTCAGGGTCTCTGGGCTACAGGGGTCCCTTGATGCCTTGGCACCTGAAGGCAAAGGAATATTTTCTCTGAGGTGTACAGGCCAAATAAAGGAGGATGCCTCTGAATCTCTGAATTAGTTTCCATAGCAAAGGCCCAGCAAAGGTTGGGCCCTTTGCTATCTCTGAGAGTTGGTTTGCCGGGAGATGGAGACTCTCCTCAGCCTGAAAAATTTTCTAAGATGTCAAAACATCATAATATGCAGAAAATTTAGAAATATTCACTACACACCCAGACCATAGACTCTGCTCGGCAGTAAAATTTTCCTAATCATTGTTGTATCATTACTGTCGTTATATGATTTTCTCTGAGTTAAGACAGATGCTAACTCTGCGTATTGTAGAAGCACAGGGACAGAGTGCTCTTACTAGCTGAGGGCTCAGAGAGCACCTGTTACAAGATGACAGGGAGACATTTGTATTTTATAGGTCCCTATTTTGGCTCCCATCATGCAAGAGCAGAAGGAAGTCAGTTAGCTTACAAATGAGCTTCTCCAAGCCTCTACTCATCACAATTTTGTTAGTTTCTACTTATTTCTGGCATTTCTCATTGAGAGTGAGAATACATAAATATTTTCAGCTGTAGTTTGTGTACTTGATATGTAAATTTGTTATATTTTTTGTGGTGGAAAAATATTTGGAATTAACAGATATGTTTTCCCTGGTGTTTCCTGTTAACACCTTGACTCTTCCCTAAACTGTCCCATCTAAGCTGAGAGACATTGACTTTAGGGAGGAGACACTTCCACAAAAACTTTCAAATCTTAAAAACATTGCATTTGAATTTCTAAAATGATTGTTTTTGCATTTCAAATGGTAGGATTTGAGGGGGAGCCAAGACTAAAAAAGGTAGAAGCAAAGCTTCTCAGCCTCCCAGACTAGAATGTTTGCTGAAATTAGG